GGTTATCATCATTAAGTGAAGCACTGCCACCTGTTAAACTGGGACCTCATCTGACAGTAACTTTCGAATTCCTGCCAGCTTCCGCATTCTCTTTGCTTTGGGGAAGCCAGCAGGAAAACTTGCAAATTACAATCAAATTACCTTAGGATGCTGTTACAGTTGGAAATCCAAGCTAATTACCAAGTGCCTGGATTGGGATCATACAGCCATGGAATCATTCTGATGACTAGAACATGTTATCCATTCAGGACTATCAAAGGTTCAAACAGTTGTTGAAAGAGTGATCATTAAGCAAGGACCACCTTGCTTAATTTGTTTATCCTCAATGATTTGTGTCCCAAAATTTCATCTTGTGACGAGACATTTCATACTGGTTTCAAATGTTAGAGAAATGCTCCTATTCCTTGACCATTTGGTTGTCTTTTGGGGAATCATTGCATTTTTTAGCTGTGACAACCATTTTTTAGCTGTGACAACCAGAATATTCTAACAAGTCAAGCCATTTCACAGATCTATGTAATGAGATTCTGATGCTGACAGTTTTATTATTTATTCTTTCTTAATAGTCATGAATGTACTTTTTATAGTCCTGCAAATTAACATATTGATTGAAATAATGACCATTAATTTAGACCAGGAGCATCCGATCTTGGCAATTTTAAAATTTGTGAACTTCAACTGCCAGCATTCCCCAGCTAGCATGACTTCTGAATTGTCACCTTGCATAACTTCTTGCTAGCTCAAATGTGGCTGCTTCATTGTACATTTATAAACCAAATAATTATAAATTATTAAACATAAATAGTACAATTGGGGTGTCAAATGGGGGAAAGAATTGCCATGTAAGTATAATATGCCTGTATCTAAGCTGTAACTTAATATGACACAAACAGTTTATAGCAGTGCCATCAATTTGTAGCAGTTATAGCCTCCAAATGCTTCAAAAAGATTCAAGGTCAAAGACTTATGAGGTTAAGTCTACATAAGGTTTAACAGAGTAGTTATGGATACTGTCTGTGCAAAGATCTCCCTAGGGCAGGGGTCTCCAACCTTGGCAACATTAAGACTTGTGGACTTCAACTCCCAGAATTCCTCAGCCAGCTTTGCTGAGGAATTCTGGGAGTTGAAGTCCACAAGTCTTAATGTTGCCAAGATTGGAGACCCCTGTTCTAGGATGCCTCTGTTTGATCAACTACCAATCACACTTATGGTTATATGGCAGTCAAGGGAAGACCCCCAACAAACCTAGCACGAAGGGCATATTCTGAGTCCCTTCCATGAAAAAATATCACTTTGGTGGACCCAGGAATCATACCATCTCTGTTACAGTGACAACCCTGTGGAACATCCTCCCTCTGGAGAGGCAGATAACTCCAACCTTGCTAGCCTTTCACAAGACATTAAAGAATTATCCCCCAGGCATTTGGCCAAGGACATTAATCTGGCAGATATGGTTTAACTTTGAACTAATCTTTGTGGATGTGGACATTTAATTATTTGGATTATTTGCAAATAGTTTACATAAGTAAGTAAATAAATAAACTGTAGCTAGAAAGGATAGCCTCCATGCATCTTGCCAGACTAGAATGGTCTTTTACAGTACCCAGTCAACTATAGATCTAACACTTCTTAATTCCTCTTTCTAAAAAGAGGGAGATGTATTTGTTAGTCATTGGAGTTCAGAATATACTAATCTAATAATTTGGTTATTATTTCTCAAATTCCTACATGGCTGCGCCCGACATGGTGAATTAATCACAACACTTAGTCTACCATCCTCCTCTGCATCCAGCTGAGCAAACATCCTTATTCTTTTTCTTTAACCATCATTATGAAAACCATGTTCATTTGAGACTGAATTGTTTCATCATTTTAATAGAAGCTAGTTAACATCAATGCACCACCTACATTTCTTCAATGGCTAAGACAACATTCTGGGGGTGGGGAGGTGTTAAGACAATAAATGGAAAAATATTAGGACAGTTTTTAATGAAATGTTTGAATTTCCAATGCATTCAGTTGTCCCAAAGGAGCTTTTTTCAAGAGGCAAGTGGACTTTCTGGTTTTTCTTTGAAGACGTTTTACTTCTCATCCAAGAAGTTTCTTCAGCTCTTCTTCAAAGAAAAATCAGAAAGTCCAGTTGCCTCTTGAAAAAAGCACCTTTAGGACAACTCTGATCTCTATGACTGAGAATCTCCATAGACAAATGGATTCAGTTAGTAAGAAGTTAGCTGTGACTGTTCTCAGCTTGACCTAATTCTGTACCAATTCTGGGGGCAATGAGAGAGAATTAGATATGGTTAATAACTCCATTCCTTCCCAGTAGCTTCGCTGGCATATCTTGGCCTATAGAGCAAGTCAGGATGGCAGTTCTCTGGAGCCAAATCTTTGGCAGCAGAAGTGTCCATCGTATCATTACCATGTTGAAGTGTTATCTACTGAGTTGCCATACAACAAGCCTGATGTAAACTTTGCATCCAGGTGCCAGTCTTTAACTTGCCTCAGTGTTCTCAATCACTGCTGAATGCTATTCTCCTGACTTGTGAGTGTATCATACATAAGCAACCAGATCCACACATGTAGGATTCAAACTAGCTACTTTACTGTATTCTGCCTACAATACAGGAATTTCCCCAGACTGCTTGCCTTACCTTGGGAACAGATGGATAAGGTTCCATGGAGCTTAATGGGTGGGGGGGAGGGGGAAGAGGCACTCCTGGATCTCTTACAGCAGCCCAATGATTCTAGGCTAATTCCCCACTTGAGCCCTCCCCCCAGCTTGGTTAGCCAATTCCCAACAGACTATGCCAGTTATTACAGGCAGGCTGATTGGTTTTCCTTCTGGCTATGCTGCCATGCCCTTTTAACACATCTTTAGAAGCAAGAAAATGACTACGAATCAGGGCCCTGAAGCAGAAACAGGGTGGGATATGACTTCAGGACTTAGCCTGGTCTTATTTAGTTTGATTGCCCTTCTCCTCCACTCCCAATTCCATTTGGATCTCTCTCAAGTTTAAAATTATACAAAGAAAAGCAAAGTATGAGAAAATGGTAGGGCACATAGCCACAACCAGCATGAAGGCCAAGTGATGTAAAGAGGAATCCTTGAAAATGACTACTTTCTAAGCCACCACTTCTCTTATAGAAGAGTGAGTGGTGGTGAAGTGATTAAACCTAGGAAATATAAAGGGCTGATCAAAGGAGGTGGGGGCAGAAATCTGGTTCAACATCTCTCACTGATTTCTGGATACCATACTAAGGAAATACAGGTCTGCTGCATTAAAGATAAACATCCCCACAGCTACCATTCAAAATATTGTGAAAGCGATGTCCCATTTCTCACATAAAAGTGTGGGCCCTATGGTCATTAGATACTACTCTTAAATTGGAGTGGCACAAATACCTCCCTCTATTTCCCAATATAAACTATTTGGTATCTGCTCTTTTCTCTGATGTTCTGGAGAGAAATAGGGACAAGATGGTAAACTCAGATGAGAAACTGCTAACCCACAATACAAATACTGGGAGGAAATATGACTACTTTAATGAGGTGGCAAAGAGGACATGCTCACTGAGCCCCTCAAGCTCAGCACCCCCAGCTAAAAGAAAATCACCTGACTGCCTCCAAGGTTGATACACAAGAAAGCATTGCAGAATTTACACACTTTGAAACTGTAATGAGATCATGTCAGCTTAAGAGGGAAAACTACACTTAAGCTGTTTCACTCATGACAACTTACAGCAAAGGGAAAATACCGATATTGTGAGGACATGAATGGGCTGAAATAATATATAAGTGGGGAAGACTTTGAATCATTATGACTTTCTCTAACCAGTGTCTGCACTGTAGGAAAACTGCACTGCAACTTTAAACCATTTTACTGCTATCCATTTTCTTTGGATTAAGTCCCATTCAACCCACTTGGATCTACTTCTAAATAAATATATTACGGCACTGTAAGTCTCTGTAGTCCTTTTCTGTGAAGTAGAACCCCTTCTCCCAAATGACTATTTTGTGCAATGCACTGTGACTTTGGAGTTGTGAGGCCCCTTTAATGAATGTTACTAGCAAAAACTTCAGGGGATTAACCCAACCTAGGCTAGGCACCCAACCTAAAGAGTCAGATATTTTTTTAAAAAAATGACTATTAACAGATTGGCCAATACATCTCCCAGAGAATTAAAAAAAGAATATCCATAATTTACCATCTTAAGAAACGATCAACGGTGAGATTCTTTTTAAACTTAAGAACCATTATTTTACCACTGGTAAATGTATTATATGTATGTAAGTATGTATGTATATAAATAAATAAAAGCAGCCATCCCTGCTTCCAGCTAACCAGCCTCCCTCTTGAACTGAGGGAGACCAGGAATCTACTTTGCAAACATTCCAACATGTGTCCAGTCTGTGCTTCACTTTTCCATTTTTTTTTACCTCGAAACAAATGTTTTTTCCCCTCAAAGCTGAAAGCTGTCCAAAAAAACAGGACCACACACAAGCACAGCCCTACTGCGAGCTGTGCAGATCACGTTCAGCCTGTTCCTGCGGCGGCGGCTGCTGCTGCTGCTGCTGCTAACAGGACACACGTACATACACCCCTACACTCACTCACACACGCACACACAAAATGGCGGAGGAGGTAAGCCGCTTTGAACACAGACTTTCCTTTCATGCTCTGCGAGCAGCCCCTGCTCCTTGGACACACAAGCAGAATCGGGGAGAGGGGCCAAGAGAAAGGTTGGCATCTGCAGGGTCCAAAGGATCCCCCCTTTTCTTCTTTCCCACCACCCAAGCAGCCACCCTTCCCTTCCATCCCCAGACCATCTCATAAGGTATTGCTTCCAGAAACGGATTACATCCATCTGGCCTTCAGCCAACACCAATAAACCACCAGGCTCTGCCCCTGAGAAAGAGGAAAGTTCCCTCAGCCACCCCCCACCCTCACTGCCATTTGGGAGGAGGACGAGAAGAAGCCAGGCGAGGGATCAATCCTTACCTTCTACCCAAAGTTCCTCCACATTGGTCTCCAGATTGGCAGCTCTTAATCCCACCGCAAAAGCCCCGAAGATCAGAAGGCCAACCACTAAAAATTTTCCGCAGTTTTTTTGAATGTAACAGCCCAGTTTAAATAGCAGTCTCTGAAATTTCGCTCTCAGCCACAGCGGCGCTTTTCTTCCAGTAGCTCTCCCCTAGAAAAGCAAGGAAAAGCAAGGGGAGAAATTAAGGTCGGGAAAGAACCGCCCCCCCCCCCAAAGAAAAGCACCATGTGCCGGCAAGAAAGCGGCTCCAGAAGGGTCCCGGCCGGGCAGTTCGTGGCAGGAATGGGACACACGGGGGCAGCCGAGCAGGCCGGCCAACCTGCAAAGCGTGGCAGACGCCCCGCCGCCTCCCACATCCGCCTCCCCTCAGGCTTGCAACGAGGAATCCTCCGACCGCCCGATCCGCTCCTTTTCAACACACCGCCGCTTCTGGGACCCTTCAAGCTGGGATAGCGCTACATAGCCCGGAACGATCGCCCCAGCACCGGAATATAAATCGACCTGTCAAACAATCCTGGGATGGTCTGGAGAAGAGGAGGAAGAAGGCTCTCCCTTCCCTACCCCCACCTACCCCCTTCTGGAAGAGCTGAAGCCCGCTTCCCTGCAAATCTTGTCATCCCTTTCCCCGCCTTGCTTCCCTAGGCTCCTGCTTCGCAGCAACTGCCTGGACCCACGTGGTTACCGACCGCGCTGGCAACCTCCTAAATTGAAGAATTACAGTCTACAATTGCCGTTTGGGCGTCGCCGGGATGACCTGGACTTTGGAAACCGAGCAGCCGTCGATAAATTGCCACAATATTAGGGAATGGAAGGCACCAGCCACGTGGATGCTTTCTATTTAAATCAACCAACAAATCCATCTTTTAATCCACATACTACTGCTGCCTTTGCTTTTTTGTTGTTGTTGCTGCTGCTGCTGCTGCTGTTCTTCCCGTCCGGCGAAGTGAAGTGAAGGCGCTACCAAACCTGTTATCTCCCTCGGGTACTGAAGGGGAGGAGTAAGTTATCTCCACCAGGACGGGAAAGGTGGAAGTTAGCAATTTGCTTACAATTTTCACTCTCTTGCCCTACCGCTAAAGAAGAAATGCGACATTCACTGGAAAAAAAGAGAGAGAGCCTTCTTGGAGGGAAATCACACTTCTACACTCAAACCGGATAACAGGAGCGGGGCGGGGGGGGCAGAGAGGGGAGCAGTGCTGGTTTGGAAAACGTTATAATTCATTTTCTTGGGCAAAACTTTTTTTTTTCAGGGGTTGGATAGAAAATCAAAGCCTTTGAAAGTTTTCTTGGGGTAGACAGAAGAGAGAGAGAAAAGTCCCATTCATACATTCACACACGCTACCCGGGGAAACGCGATTAGATGACTGGTAAACCCACCAACACGCTGGAAAAACGAGCACAGTAGGAGGGACGAAGGGCTGGCTGCCTTTCTACCTTTCGGGAGTCAAGAACATCCTTCCCCTCACCCCCAAATCCCACTCTCCAGCATTTCATTGGCGATTCTTCCCGCCGCTTATGAGAAAACGAGATTTGGAAAGGAGAAAAAAGAGAAACCTCGACAAAGCACCTTTGCTATCTGCTCCAAGGCGAACCCTGCATCGCAGTAGCTCGGCCGCTGCAGATATTCCAGATCGGGCGGCGCGGCGCGTCTGTTCTCCACTATCCTTCTCCGCCTTCTGCTGCCGCTTCTCCCCAGCCGATCTGGCACTCTGCACCCGCCGCCGCCGCCGCCGCCGCCTCCTCCACCGCAGCCGCCGCCACCACCACAGTCGCCGCTGCTCTCCGGCTCCGAGGCATTAACAGCTGAGGCCATGTTGCCGCCAAAGAGCCGCCGCCGCCGCGGCTGCTGCTGTTGTTTTGGCGACCCAAAGGCTGGGTCTTCTGAGGTTCCCCCCAGCGCGCTGCTGCTGCTGCTGCGGGACGATCCGGAGGAACCGGGGACTGGCTGGGTTGGCTGAGATTCGCTGCTGCTGCTGCTGCTGCTGACAGACCGCTTCATACGGCGTTGGCTGCCGCTGCTGCCGCTGTAGCTGCTCCCGGCGAGTCAGACCCCGAGCCTTCCATTGCAACATTTCGCGAGGATCCGGAGGTCTTCGCCGCTGCTGCTTCCCACATCCAGGGTGCGCGGGTGAGCGGAGGCAGGGAATCTCAGCGCGCTCGCCTTCCTTCCCCGGACCGCTTCGCCTGCGGCTCGAGTTGCTCTCCAGGCTCCTCGCCGCTCGGCTGCTGGAAGCCAAGCCGGACTCGACCCGAGCTCTCTTTCTCGCCACACCAGCTAAGCCTGGCGAAAGCCTTGATTTCACAAGAGGAGCCGCCGCCGCCGCCGTTGCTTCTGTTGCTTCTGCTCTTTCTCGGTGCGCTGTACCATTCTGTCTGGGCGCAGAGCTGTCTCTAAGGGCTCTCCCGGCTGCTTTCCCCCCGCTCTTTCTCTCCTCGATGCGTGCGTCGCGCTCTCTTTCTTCCTCTGCTGTGTGCAGCGGCAGCGGCGGCGGCGGCGGCGGCAGCAAGCAGCAGCTCCCTTGCTTCAATAGATGAGATGAAGAAGGGGGAGAAAAAAGGAACTCTCTCCATTTGGATAAAGAGGAGGAGGAGGAGGGGTGAAAGGGAGAGGGGAGAGAAAGGGAAAAAGAGCTGAAATCCCGCCCCTGGGGCTGTCAGATGGCTTCGGTTTCTGGGCTGCGATTGGCTCAAAGAGGGCAGAAATTACTCAGCAAACATGACTATTATTAGCTGCTTAGCAACAGCTCACCAAAGTAGAGAGACCACCCAGGCAGGCTACCCTTGTGTGTGTGCATCTCCAACTTCAGGGGAGCCTTAAAGAGATCCAGCCCTCTTTCCATGCAATACTTCCATTAAGGAATGCTTCTTTTTTCTCCCTACCCCCTCGGTTCTTTTCAAGAAAGGTTTGCTTTGGATTTTAAGAAGGAAAGGACGTTGCTGCTGTAGTTTTTAAAAGGAAGACGTTTTTACAAAGAGCACATCAGGATTACTCCACGGAGCGAACTGTTAAAATACACTTTTCTTTCTTTCATGAATTGGTTTGGGGGAAGCGCGCCAAAGAGACTAAATGATATCCGGAGCCCTTCAAGAAAGTCCTTTCGGAGACGCCTTGGCCTCAAGCAGCCACGAATCCTGGGAGGTCCAAGCTGAATTCCCAGGGCTGCACAAATAATGACAGGGTGGGGGATCCTGCGGTCTCCCCCCCCCCCCCCCCTTTTTTTTCAAGCAAAGGAAAGTCTGCGTTCCTACAAAAACAACCGGCCGAGTTAAGAAAAAGACCACAAACTCTTAGTACTTGAAATAGTGAATTTAAAAACTGGAGTAGGCGGATTACTCGCTTACACGCAACAGTACTGCCACTAAGAGCTTTGAAGAAAACGCGTTCAAAACATTGGACTTAAAAAAAAAAGGTTACGAAGTTTCTCACAGATCATTGTGTGCGCTTAATTTAACGTTTCGTGTTCCGACAATTTAATTTTGGTAATTCGTCACTAGTGACGTCAAGAGGGCCGATTTCTTATTTTTCTGATCTCCCCCCATTGCCTATTATTTTGGCGAGCTCTCTTTCGCACGTGCCCATCTTGGTTATTTGATCCGCCATGAAGAATTTAAACCGGGGAACTCTTGTCCAAGGAACGCACAAGCTTCTATTTGTTTCCACGTTCTCGATATACGTACGCTTATCCAATCTTACCCGAGGGAAAGCGTGAAACGGGGAAGTGTTGCTTTAAGGAACGAACTTGCGCGTGTTCATTGAAGGGGAAAAAAAAGTGGAGGGGAACTAGAAAAGACCGCACATTCAGAGAAGGGAGGGGGAAGGCCGTGGAGGCGGGCTACAGGTTTCACGTGACTGGCTGGCTCTGGATTATGCACACACAAGGCTGGGCTTCCCTCCGTCGCGGATCTGGCGGGGTCGCTTGGCACGCAGGGCCTTAGCCCATCAAGTTTAAAACGTTGGGTCTCCTCATCCACAGGAGTGCGGCCTTCAGCCTCGCAGAGCAAGAGAAGGAAGCTCCTACCCACTCTTCCCTCCCTCCCCAGGAGAGAAAAATACCAGACAAGCCATAGTACATTCCTAAAGGAGGTCTCTCCCCTTTACGCTGCCCAATAGCGGTCTACGTCGGTATCTGTGGGCCAATGGCAGAAGAGCAAAGGACGTTTCCATTCAGCTCTGTGCTACAAGGAGGGAGGAGGGGGGCGTTGCCATGGCAGCCGTGTTAGGAAGGCTTGGAGAAGCCGATTCTTCGCTCGCCACTGCCTGCTGCGCCCTGAACGCCAATAGTTTACTCCTGCGGGTCTTTTAACATTGCATGGGGCTGGCCGCTGAGGTTTTACCCGAGAGGGTCCCTGGTGAAGGACTCTAATCCCTCAGCCACTTTAGCAGCCCCGGCAAAGACATCAAAGTGTGCTCTGATCCAAAGAAGTTTCAGTTCCTCCCAAAGGCACGTGTGGACTTCTAGTCCCCTGTCCTCCCCCCTCTTGCGATGCCGACAGGCGTGTTAACAATCGGCAACCCCGAGAAGCCAAAGTGGGGAACTCGGCCGCCTAAATGATTCTCGCGATCTTTTTTGCTGGCCTGATGTGGATACCAGCACTCAGATGTTTGAGAAAACATCTCTCGGCTTTTAGCCGCAGTACTTCACTCCATGTGTTCCCCTAACGTACGGTATCCTCCGAATGACCTTGGATTCCTAATTAACCAAGATTCCTAACCAGCGGAAGACACGTAATTGGGAATGGCGACATCGACTTGATGGCACATCATCATCAATTATTGTCACACTCGCTACATGGGGAATACTGAACCTAATCTACACCGAAACACAAATATACAGGACTGCACTGTTAGCTATGCTTCTGAATAAGTGGCTTTAGTTGTGTATTTGAACCCAAAGCATCTTCCTGCTTTTAGTATATAACTTCTAATAAAATATATATTTTGCTATAAACGGTCTCGTCATACTCAGTTCCTCCGTACCAATAGCGTAGAGAAGCCTCAACCTTCTTTCTCTGCGAGGTGTTCTTGGCCACGCTGTCTGGGAAAAAGCTGCAGGGTGACCACGTTAGGTGGGCGCCAGGTTGGGAAAAGCGAGTCATCGGTTGCACAATAACCCTGAACTTACTGGCTAGTCATGTTTTAGCCAAGCACGCTGTGCGATCCCACCCGCTATGATTAGTTTAATATTCAGGGTAACCTGCTGCGAATCCGAATATTGACTTAATTGAGTAAAATCCAGTTAAACTAACCGTGACAACGCACGTTGCCTTAGGAAATGGATAAGAGAAGCCTTTAAAATGATCTGCATGCGTCCAATTTTTTTGTCATTTTAAATACTCTATTTAAATCTCCATTCCATGCCCCGAAAAGCACTCTAAACTGTATTACTGTCTTCTCAATCTTAGTATAAATTTACACATTAATTTAGCACCACGTAGATAACCTCCAGATGTATTAGAATGAAATTCCTTTCATGACAGGACTTTTCAGCCCAGACTCCAATCCGGGGAAAATCTGTTATTTACGAATATAAGGGATGGTATGGCTGATGAGGGAGAGAAACAGAAGTTGCCTAATGGACTGGATTCATCACCTTTGCCCACGATTTATTGGTGCTCCGCCCCATTTCTCAGTAAGCTTTTCTTGTATGGTACAGGTAAGGTTTTCAAATGGGCTTCACAACCTAAATGGCTCACACTTTCCTTGATTTCATTTCCCAAACTCACATTGCAGAATACTTTCTTTCCCCTTTTCCTTTTGCAACCCTCTGGCTGCGTCGTTATTTCCAAAACTTAATCTGGAGGCTCAAATTTAACAAGCTCTATCTTAATATCCTTCCTCCCTGACGCCGCCTCTCTCTCACTCTCTGTGGCCTGGTTCACTTCATACACGAGATGAATTACATCTCTAATTGGCTTTGTTTCATTAGCGTGTGTGGGGGGGGAGGGGCGTGTACCCCTGTGCGCGCTTAAAGGATGAAGCGTCTAAGTGTAAACATCTCGTCTCGACTTGGGTGGTCAAAGCCATTGCAATGCAGGCGAAAGTGGGCTACTTGCTTCAAAGCTACAAGGTGGCTCCAGATCGAGCCACTCTCCCCATTCACATTTAACGGCATGGCAGCCTATAGCGCGCATGCCCCGTGTTGGTAGCCTGTCTGGGCCACACGGTTCGAAGCAGTGAGACGGGAGGCGTATGAAATACTCTGGCTGGGCGAAAGGCTTGTACGGCTTAGCATTTACACTGCGGCTTTCTCTCTCCACGTAGTTCAGAGAGAAGAAGCAGTCCTAGTTTACAGATCACCTAGCCACTAGTATGGTGGAGAGGAAGCAAAACTGTACGGTATAAGATATTGAGACACAGTGATCGCCAAAAGACACTGTAAAACATAGCTATTGAAAAAAATAGCCAATGCGCCCCTGCCAAACAAGCCAATTCTACTCCCACAGCTGCTTCCCCTCCCCCCGGATTTTCTCTTCCTGTACACCTAGATCTTTGCATCATCTACACTTGTCTCTGGCACCACAACTACCCAAAGAATCCCCACCATTCACCTGTACCAACACCTATCCCTACTTTAGATCTGACCTAGGCAGCAGCAACTTTGGATGATCTTGAGTTTGGAGCAGCTGCCCTCAGTCTGGTTTCTTCCAGAAATGTTGAGAGCTTTATTCCCAGCTGGATGTCTCAGGGCATCTAAAGTTGTAGAAAACTGCTTTGGAATACAGACAACAAAGAAGGATGTCATCCCTTATTTAGACACTGAAGAAACACTCTTTCAATAAACTGTCTGCTTCAAATTGCCCTACCCAAGTAGCAAAAATCAGGCAACCATTAGATGGGCATGTGAGACATAGAAACATTGACTGCCCTCTGGTAGCTATCAGGTTTTGTAGCCCAGATATAGCCCTAATGGGTGGAAGGGAGTAGAGCACCAAGGCTCAGAGTTTGAAACAATATTTGAGGGCTTCAATACTCTATTTTCTATGCTTGCACACACTGTTCCTACTGAGGGTTGCAGCTTAATCCAAGTGCATGTGTGTAGTAGCTTGGACCTGTTGTATTCTGCAAGTCTCCAAGTGCTTCCTTACAGGCTTCCTATTGAAACCAATCAGTAACTTCCCAGTATCAACAATAGTAAAAAAAAGATAGGAGGGAAAAATAAGGTTGCAAATTGATTACAAAGTTATCTAGCTCAGGCGTCTCTAACCTTGGCAACTTTAAGCCTGGAGGACTTCAACTCCCAGAATTCCCCAGCAGC